ATTATAGTATATGTATATGATATAATTGTATTATAGTATTATGTATATGATATAATTGTATTATAGTATTATGTGTATGATATAATTGTATTATAGTATTGTGTATATGATATAATTGTATTATAGTATATGTATATGATATAATTGTATTATAGTATTGTGTATATGATATAATTGATTATAATATATGATGTATTACCAACTACACACTTCGTGAATTATCAGATGCCTTTTGTGGAACATGAAACTTTTATATGACTTCTGACAAAAAACTAGAATTTCGATTTACAAAAAACATTCTGACTTTTTTTATTTAGACTACACAAAATCACAATATTCATTAAAAACATGAAATGATTTTCTGCAGATCAAAGTAATCCTACTGTATCAAAAAGTTTATTTACGTTTTAGATTAGCGATGTTTTATTTAAAAGAATGCTTTTTTTAGATTTATTAATTTCGCTTCGGTTAGTTTTGAGGGCTTCAAACTATTGCTTTATAACGATCGTCAAACTTAAAATTTATTTTCGTAAAATCTAAGCAAGTATGGATAACGTACATGAAAGCTAAAACTGCAATATGGAACCAATGCAGTTTACGTAAAATATATAGGACGACAAATACGATCAAAAAGTCAGAAACGTAATACGTGGTCAATAAGGATAACATTCAGTAAAACGTAATATATTGCCAAAATTATACGTTATAGGCTCATTGTGGGTTAACATTAAGTAAAATATACGGACATTACAATTTGAACTATTAAATAATTTGATACTTTAGATAGGACCCAGTTTTTACCAAGTAACCTAATTTATACGTTTAAATATTTACAATAATAATATATTTTCACTGTTAAAATAGTGCTAAATGCATACATTGTGGAGCGATATAAAAATATTAAAACAGGGGCCTTATTCTCGAAAACTTAGATAAGGTGAAATCCAGATTTATAGAAAAACAGTAATATGATTGGATAATAAAACAAAATTTAAAATCAATTTTAGTGATTGACTAATCAAACGAGTGCAAAATAATCTTAAGTTAAGTTTTCCAGATTAATGCCCAAGAACCTACAAAAAACCATGTTGTTTAAGAGTTGAACGCTATCCGAGTTTAAGACAACTCATTTTAAATATTTACACATTTTTTATGTGCGAGATTTTTCTCTGGAGGCAAATTTGATCAATTGAAACCATGAAATACTGGGAGTGTTCATTAATGGCAAATCAACAAACAAAAGCTTGGGATGATTAATGCAAATGAAGTCTAAATTAATGAAAACAATGCTTCATGAATATTCAGAGAACAGATTAACTTCTGAATGGAACCTGACTCTAACCTCCAACTCGAAATTAAGCCAGTCTAAAGAGAGCACTAATGTTTGTCTTGGGAATTCATATCTACTAATGAACTTGATTATTCGAACTCGCTTCACTCCAATGTGCTAACTATCAAATCGTTTTCATGTGCAGATCGTATTACGCGAGTGCTAACTTTGTTTATATCACTAGTGCAACGTCTTGTGGCGTGTAATTGTGATGTTTAGCTTTGATTTTGGAATACGTTGCTGTATTTTATAAACAGTTTCTGCTTAAAACAATAATTACAGGTGCTTCGGGGAATTCAGACTTTAATTGTTTGTTGCACTGAAAATATTGAAGATAATCCCGATTAATTTGATTTTCTGTAGGTAATTTTATTGAAGACGTGTTTAAATGACCATGTTCAGTTAAATCCAAACCG